TTAATGCACCATCTACTGGTGGTGTGCGCTTTAAAAAGTATGGCATGCAGTACTTTTTTTAAGTGAGGCCATAGTACTGAATGAAATGTCATTTGGTACAGTTCAATAAAGTTCTAAAAAAAAAAAGTGTGATGCAGCTTGATAGATCACATCAGCACTCACACCAGCTGCCGTATGATTGATCGCAGCTGCTGGTGTGAACATATCCTTAAAATTAGACTCTGGAGAGGCAGAGCAAGAATGGTTAGAAGGGCTGCCACTTTTTAATCCTCTGTCCCCAGTGGAGCTGTAACAGAAAGTGATGGGAAATCCCATTGTTGACAGTTATCACTGGAACAGGAACTGAGGGGAAGACTTCCAATGGTGACACTTGTCCTGGTGACAACTGCTAATGATGGTAATTTCCCTCACTTGGGAAATTTCTTACCACTTTCTGTCATAGATGTAGAACAGGAAGTGAGGGGAACTCTTTACAAGGGGGCACAGACAGCAATTCTGGGGTGCCATCCATTTTCATTCTGGGTTCTTTGTAAATGTCCATGATAGAGATTTCTGCAAATATAATTTTGCATTGGCCACTTCTGCTCTAGCCTTTGCTTGTTAATTTCAGCAGTCGGAGCAGGCTTTTTTTGTTTTGTTTCAGTTGCAGCTTGTGTGCCATGGGTTGTGCAAATTACAAAGGTTAAGGGCCCATTCACACCACATCCAGATCATCAACAGACCAGATTGTTTAAGGAAGGAGCCATCTTAACCTCTCTTTGGATTGCAGTTGCCATGGTGCCGCACATGTGATCGGCAGTGGCACCGGCCATTTGAGGGCTTGAAAGTTCGGTTGAGAGCTGAAATAAGCACACTGCCAACCTTGACAGTTGGTATGACGTAACAGTAACCGTTTTGGGGGACAGTTAAATTGGTGGGTGAAGGTCCGCTTTCTGTAAGAAAAGTGTAATTATTCTTTATATCAAATTAGCATCATCACCTGTCCACAATAGTCAAATTAGGCTGACTTGGGATTTACGAGTGTAGCAATATTTGACCTTAGTGCGGTAGGTATTTCATATATTACATGTTGAATAAAGCAGACTTCCAGGCAAATGCATAACATACCCCTTAATCAAGTTATGTAATAATACAATTATAATTAAATATCGTTTTTTTTAAATTACAGCAGATATAAATACATTAATATGTCCCTATATGTGCTTTCCACAGTTCACAATATAGCAGAGATCACACTGCAAGAGATCTGCACCTATAGCCAGTCAGGGTTCTACTAATAGGAGGGTGGACCACAGGGTTGACTTCCTCTTGCATCCTCTTCATTGTCCAATCACAGGCAGAGGGAGGAGTGGTGACTAAGGAATCAAAAAAGCAGCAACCATTATTTCCCCGTGTTCAGCCATTAGATGGTTGAATACCTTTTATCATGATTTCATGTGCAGCATAGTGAACGTTGACACAGATGATACTTCCATCTCTGATAGTAAGGGAGGACATATATGTACAGCAAATAATGGAGGTCCTGAGATCTTGGCGTAGAGTTCCGTTTCAAGCAATATGTAGAATTTCTTTGATCGGAAGTGTTCAGTAATCTGCGCAGCCCCAGGAAATTACTTTCCTCTATGGCTGACCCATTTAGTTAATTGATAAGAACTCTTTAAATCTGTTGTGTAATTGTGTTGTCCTGCTGCATGCCGTCTTGGAAAGAAAAGTCAGGCTCTTATTGGTTATATGTCAGTTGTAAGCATTTTACATCCGGTGACTTTTCGAACCTTGCTTGAGTGGTATGACTTATTCTTTCCCTATCCTCTCTCATTTGTATCCTGAATGCTGGGACAAAACACAGTAAAAACAAATTGATTTTAACTTGAAGGGCTTTGCCATTTAGATTTTCTGATAAAGCATAAGGTAATTTGTTTGGATCATCTTAATTGTCAGCTGGTCTGGATGGCCTCTGGCTATGAGAAGCGTCTTGGTTTTGGCTCTGTTATAATGTTTCTTAAGAAGTGTGACAGTTAAGCAGACTGCATGTATCCTCTTTAATGAAACGCATGTGACAGGAGCGGTTGAATTAACTTTACTTAAGATTTCATTTTTAGAGGGAAGGAGAGCTGTACCTTTTTGAATGGTTTCAGTGATAAAAAAACATCTTCAACACAATGCATAGCTGCCAGCAAGTAAAAAGTATCAAGACCAAATCCATGAATGACATGTAAATATATATACAGGGCCGTCCCTACCCTTTATGGCGCCTGAGGCAGCAGAGTGGTGGCTGTTGTGTGGCGGCTGCTGCTGATAGTGCTTGCTGTCGGGTGCTGCTGATATTGCTGGGGAAAGGGGGGGGGGGGGGGTTAGTGGCAGTGGGTGCTGCTTATAGCGCTGGCATGGGGGGGCGGGTTGCTTTGCAGCAGATGCGGTGGAACAGGGGCAGTTTTGTTAGATGAGGATAGAGCCATGCTGTCAGCTGCTCTCTGTCCACTCCCGCCCAGCTCACCTATGTCGCTGGTTGCCAGGAGCTTGGCAGGGCAGCCAGAGCATCCCGCTCACCTCCCTGGCAACCGATGATGTCAGTGAGCTGGGTGGGAAGCCGGACAAAGCATTACAGGTTGCTAAGAGCTCTTAGCAACCTGGGACGCCATGGCCGCCCCTCAGAGAGGCAAAGGTTTTGCAACATCAAAATGTCTGTTGCCTATTTCCTCCCAACGCCCCCTTTTGTTTTCATTCTTTTAAAACTGCATCCTACAGCAGTTTTGATCCTACTTTCCAAACTGCAGCTAGTATAAGGCAGGTGTCTAATTTTACTTTTTAAGCTTTGTTTCAGTTTCATGTACAATAAAAGTAGTTTATTAACCATCTATTTTTTTTACTCTTTCATTTTGAGACTGCACAGAAAAATGTTCATGTACACACCCTACAATACCCAGTAATTAATGGTGATGATCACATCACTATGTATTAACGGATAGTGTATGGTCAGTATTGTGTTTTGCCCATACATGTGGCTTTGCCCAATCTGATAATAGACATTAGCCCAGTTCATGCAGTTTGGTCCGAGCGGTAGAGACAACCTGCCTTCTGTGTTTCTGTATTAGGAATCCTTGACCATGAACGCATTCTGTATTTAGCATCAAAAAGGGCAAAGCCCTATTAGAGGGGCAGATAATGACTTGATACTCGCAGTGTTGTATTGCCGATCGTATGTCATTTTCTGTATCTCTCGTGCTAAAAATGATATATGACTCACTGAGGCTCGCTCGCCAGCTGTATCAGTAAACCGGACACATGACCCATAAAACCGGGCAGCCAATATAGATCTATAGATAGTTTGCAATTAGCAATGGGATGGAGACTGCGCTCAGCCAGTCAATGCATACATAGGACTGTTGGGACTGTTTTTTGGTGGACGTATGGCTACTGTTGTGTGATTGATAGCACCAGACTGCTGCAGGGATGGATTTTATGTTAATGTTTCCTTATGCAGCTCTTCGTACTGTTACTACGTTTCTGTAACTGAGCAATTGGTGTGGATTGGTCGCCGTCATCCGGGACCCAGTAGACTTTTGTTAGGAGTCAGAAATCCCATGCTTCCAGTGATAGAAGAGACCGGAGTCAGGCACTGGTGTGTTTGTATTGGTTGCCTGGCTCCTGGGATTTGTCTGGGACTGTACCTGAACATTGGTGCTTTAGTGGATAGCGTCACTGCCTTGGGCATGGATTAAAATCTATCCAAACCTCACCTGCAGTGCTTGCTGCTTTTCACAGGTTTATTGCATGAGGTCTGTTTCTCTCCCTCTCTGGTAGGTTATTTAGCTTCTTGTTAAAGGGAATGTTTTAGAGGTTTTAGTGTTTTTTAATGAAATATACTAATATAGCCTTAGTACAGTATTTTGCTTTTTTTTGTTGTTTTTAAAGAACCTTCATTTGCTTCTATGATAAAAAAAAAGCCATTGCTTGTTACACAGCTCAATCATCAGCAATATCTGATCCCAGTCACTCATCCTTTATGTGACGGCTCAGTCTGAAGTTTCAATCAGACAGATTATGGCTCAAAGTGTGCAGCTCTGCATTTAGCTAACCCATTGTGCTCAGGGGAATACTTTGCGATGATTAAGATCTGGTTCACGCCACGCCATATGGCAATGCATAGCACATAACTTGTGTGCGCTGTCACATGGTCTGAAGATGCACTGTTGAGCACTGCAATGCATTGCTATAACACATTGCAGTCATTTTTTTTTTCTCTTTTACCTGCAAATTATATGTGCTGCAGCATTGTAAATGTGCTGCACTGCAATAAAATGATGCCTGCATCAATTTATCGCAATACACACAACCCAGTGCATTGATGTGAACAGGTTCTATACATGGCTTGGCTTTTTGCCTTGTCTTTGCTTTGGGACTGTGTTGGACACTGCCCGGCACAGCCCAACGGGGCTGGCATGAACCAGTTCTAAATGTTGTGTGTGGAGAGATAGTAGGAGAGGGAGAGAGAGAGGGAGAGAGAGGGATGAAGGGAGGGAGAGAGAAAGGGAGGGAGAGAGAAAGGGAGGGAGAGAGGGAGGGAGCGAAGGAGGGAGGGAGAGAGAGAGAGAGCGATTTTAATTGCACAGACCAAAATAGAAAAAATACAAATATGGACACCTAAATACAAATGACACAAATTCACTATAGTTTACCTATATCTGATCATGACCAAATAAATTATGTTCTGATCTACAAACCATGACATAACATTTTCTTTGCTATAAAAATTAAATTATTAAAATTAAATACATAGAGACTTTTTCAGCACTGTGATCATGGTATTTAGTCCCAATAAGAGCTCTGTCTGCATAGAGTTTGCATGCCCTCCCTGTTTGTGTGGGTTTTGATGTAGGTGAAGGGATGTATAGATTATTTGAACAAGTCTATTTTTTTTTTTTTTTAAGATTGCCATGTTTTAGGTACAGTGACACTAAATATGCTTTCATTAATGAAGCTTCCTTTCCTTTTGATTTTTTCAGCAACCCATCGTGCCTGCTCACCCCATGGCTCCTCCAAGCCCCAGCACAACCAGCAACAACAATAGCAGCAGTAGCAGTAGCAGTTCTGGTTGGGATCAGTTAAGCAAAACGAACTTGTATATCCGAGGTCTCCTTCCAAACACCACAGACCAGGACCTAGTGAAGCTATGCCAACCGTAAGTATGGTAATTTTATCATTGGGATTTCTGCTATTGTCCCATTGCGTTAATGACAAATGTCTCTGCAATGTGACTGGTTGTATATTTTTTATTTAAAAGGAATACGAACAAGAAATGTTTATTCAGTAAGGCAAACGGCAACATTCATAGTGTAATAAACTTTAGCAACCTGAGGATCAATCTCAGAGCTTTCTAGTCTGATTCCTTTCTGGGAGTTACAGTATATGTCTTTACACAGCATAGTTGTTATAGGTTATTGCACATTGGCCTTTGTCTTATTAGAAGGGTCTGCTCTTGTCATCTTAAAAAAGCAGGACTCTTCTGTAAATTTACTATACCTGGTCAAAATTGAGAATTTCAATCAGAAAGTCCACAGCTAAGTGGAAACAGATGAGCAATAGCGCAGCCCAGTACACGCAGTAGTATGCATTGATTGTCTGTGTAAGTTATCAAGAACTTTTGATGAGTCACTTGAAAAATCCCAGCAGCCGGCTTTGTATGTTCTATGTTCTGTCTGAAGAAAATGTAGAATTGTATTTGGCTGTACAACGTGCCGTCCATATTTCACAACCACTTAGCCTAAGTCAATCTCTAAGATTAAATGTGAGTCACTTTTTTCCCCATTTCTTTGCAATTTGGTAGTAAGAAGACTTCCTGTGATATTAGTAATTCACGCTCTAGTTTTACTCATTCCCAAGTGTTTTCCTGAGCATGTTCACCCTTTGAACATCATATTCTCTGTCCATCAAAGAATTCTGCCATTCATTTCCATATTTCTTCCTCGCTCTGTGGTGCAACACATTAAATTATTTTAATGACAGTTCTGATAGATGAATTAAAGAACCTTTTTTTTTTTATTTTCGCTAAACTCCAGGCAAACAGCTAAAAGCATCGATGAAATACATAAATAGAGTTATTTTGCCTGCCAAAGAAATTGCATTTCTGTCTATCCTGCCCTAGAATGTACACATCCCTGCCAACAGCACAGCCCGGTCTAGCAGAATAAAAGACCTGATATTTCTCTGCTGCAGTTAAGGAACACTTACAGGGCTTGTCCATCCCCCAGCCTGTGACTAGGCAGTGAAAGAAGATGCAGCAGACTGATGAGTTTTCACTCTGCTCTCTCTTTTTATCAGCATGTCCCTTGTTGGCACATGAGCATTGTTGCACAACTGATTGGTTCCCGGTGCTGCTTTTCCCTCTTCCAGTCTGAGCTCTTCTATACAGGGAATAGAACAGGCTGAAACCAAGTTAAATTCAGGTAGACATATTGATTGCATTTAAAAACATACATGTCATGATATATACATTAATTTGTGTCTAAAGCGGGCAATACAATATGCCGATTTAGGACAATTCTTCCGGCTGAAATTTACATAGTGGGTGCCCTATCCGGCATCCTTCTGCGCAGCATCCCTTGATCAGAGGATCGAAGTAGCCGGTTGAAAAATCTTGGGCCAAACGGTGCTTGTAGCCAATACAGTGGAAACAACGGGGGATTCCTCCATCCCCCCATTTTAGCATTGATGCAAAAATCTGTATTATTTTTCTTCTGGCTGTATGAAAAAAATAGCAGTGTATGGCCAGCTTTGAGTTTAAATTTGAGTTTAGTTTTACAATGAATCACATTTTCTGTGAGGTTTCTACAGAAGATGTTAGTTACATGTATTGGTCTGAAAGAAACAGCCAATCTCCCAGGATCATCTTGTACACGGTAGAGCAAGATGTCCACCTAAAACCACAGGGATGCAGGCCATGCTACAGAACACATTGATCATTTTCAAAAGGCTGCAGGTCAACCTGTGATTCATGGTGAAAGTTGAATTATATTATATTGTATTCCTAACAATATACATTACATACATTAATACCTATTTAGACCAGGTGGAACCTCCCATGCCACCACCCATACTCTGTCAGCACTACATGTGGTGACAATTCATGTCCGGACATATGACACACATCTGGCCTAAAATGCCAATCGGGAAGGCACACTGGTGGAAAAAATATGTATTTCCATAATGCTTTATTCTTATGGGTAGCCTTGAGATGGCCATAGAAATGCAAGAAAGGTCAAACGTACAGGTAGGATCTGTCAACTGGAAGCATGTTTGTTGACGGTAGTCCTCCTAATATGTATTTGACCTTACATGTTTAGAAGAATGAAGTCGCAAGCAGATTGTTCACAGCTCCATTTGAACAAAACCGAATAGATTTTTTCACCCTTGAGAGCAATTCACGGGGGTTGCACACCGCTGCCTTAGATATGAGAAAACGGTTAAACTGGGTGACTGTCATCTCACAAGTCCAAACAAGGGGCATCTAATCTTGGTGGGTACCTCCTTTTCAGATCTGAAATTTGTAACACATCTAGATGAGGACTGTGGTGTTATGTCATTCAAAGAAGCGATTTACTGTTGTGTGTCCTGTTAAGTACAATGTTCTGGTAACAGCGGCTATGTCCTAATTTGATATGTGTCAGTAAGGGAGTTCACAGAAGTGAAACTGTAAAAATCAGTGATGCTTTCCTCCATGTATCTTTTTAATGGTTTCGTTTCCCGTTTCACAAGCTCTCATGCTTATGAACTGTGTTTTCTCACCTATCTCTGAGCTAAGATTGACAAGATGGTCTGTTGATGGAAAAAAGGAGCGTTATATATTGTCTTTTCTAAAGAGCTTTGACTGTTAATTTATGGTTGGTCCATCTATCTACAGCATTGTTTTCATTTTTGGTAGAGGGCAGAGAGAAGACTCCTTGTTTGCCTTGTGTAGGTGACTCCATTAAGGAGATCTCTACTCTTGAGTTCCTAGGTCAACCCAATTGCCACATCCATTAAAAAGGGGGTCTCATTCTCCCTTTTGGAAGTTTCATCTATTTCACATTATGAAGAATAATGTAGGAGTGAGACTCCAAACAGAAGGCAGCAGAGACAGAGAGATAAAAGACGCTAGTGAGAGATTCAACTGTTAGGCCTTTACCAAAATCCGAAATGCAAGTGCTGTGTGAACTGACAATATAAAGTCGATCAAATGCGATTTATGTATGTAATGAAACAGTATACCCAGACAGGGTATGGTTAGAAGAGACTAAAGGAATTAAATTGCCCTTCAACCAAATAAGTGTGAAGCACAGTAAAGCCTTCTAAGAACAGAATGTATTCACATGTCTTATTCCGTCACGTATCCCAAAAATAAGAAGATTATTCCTCATTTCAGGACAGTGGGCTGAGTCATGCAACCCAATACTTTATGCCCCATCAGCTAGATGCACATCCAGAAACGCTGATGTATAGTGCAAATATAGCCTGATATTATAGAGCCATTTATTACAAACTGCCTAGAGCTGTTTCAGGCTTTTGGCCATCATCAGAGCCAACGAGACATATTACTTAGAGATAAACTACATGGGTGAATTGTCTGAAATTTTTACATGCAGCTGGTTTGTAGATTGTCAATATTGTACAAACCCCCTCACCCCTGTTTTGTGACAGTGGCATGTATGATAAGGCAATTTGAGAGTGAATATCCCTAATGAGGCCATAGACAGCAATAAAACATGACGGTTGTTCTATCCACTCATCATTCTATCGAAATATAAAATATATTTGCCTTCAGTTATACTTCAATTGCTGTGTACTTGTTCCAGGTCTATGGTTTAGAAAGTGTAAAAGCCATTTGTTAAAGTGTATCTAAACCTAAAAACAAAAATGTTATATATTGCAGCTTACTAGTCCATAGGTGTGGTGGATGCATTCATTTTCTTTTTTAAGCCTTATTTCCTTTTGCATTACACCTGGTGATCCTGCAAATAACACACTTCCTGTCCTAGGGTGGCTGTGGACTGTCACACTGTCTATGAAGGGAACCAAGGTTGTCACCCAGCCTGGAATGAAAAAAAGTCTTGCACTCCTCATCATTATGATGGAGGATGAGGGTATTAGTTTACTGAAGAAAGATAACATTGTTTGTTCTTTCAGTTCTGGCAAGATGAACAGGGCTTAGAAAATTCCTGGGTTTAGATATCCTATAACATGACAACTCTGCAACTAGTAATTTCAGGAGAGGTCAGCATTGACTGCCTGCATATTTCTCACAAGGCAGCTTTAGAGCCCTTTCACACTGGAATTCCAAACAGGTTTGCCTGTCAGTTTTTCATGGGAGATCTGATCAAAAGTTCAATGTTAGTCTACGGGCAGCCTGATGTAAATGGATGTACATCCATTTACATCTAATTACCCCCAACTCCAGCCAAGTCTGAAAATCCAAATGGAACAGAGTTCCATTTGGGCGGACCTGATTGTGGCGGATCTGGGATAATCCGATGTAAATGGACACATGTCTGTTTACATCCTTCTCCCTAATCATCAACATGGGTCCTGGAATTTCATTTCTTTCCTCCATCACGAGATGGAGGAAAAAACTGGATGGACATGGATTTCACAACAGTGACATCCATTCAGAACTGCTCCGGTCAGCAAGAGATCCGTGCACTAATCAGAACTGAAGGCGCCTGTGTAAAAAGAGCCTTACTGCTAGCTTTAAGTTGAGTGTGTGATAGTCACAGTATTCTCTAATTATTGTTCGTAGTATTACAAGACAACATTAGTTAAGCGTTCATTATGTATCCTCTTACACTACCTAATTATAAGTACAGTATATGACTGGCTTTTATGATTAGATTCTTCCTTGCTACTCTGAAATAATAATTTCTCCCTGGTAATTACTGGTACATTAGACAATATTATTGAAGGGATTCAGAAGTGTCATTGTGGACCTCCAGTAATGCCTCACGTCAACATACAATAAGTCACCATGGACTGAGATGACAATAAAAGACAAATTAATGTTCACTGATTAGAAATTATAGCGTCATGTTTATTGTGAAGAGAGATGGAGAAAGATTCTCATTGTAAAAATGTATTGCATGCTCAGTTGCAAGATCAAGGGTACTCATGTCAGATGACCACTGTCCTTTATGCACCGATACCAGTATACTC